TCTTTAGTCAACAAGTTGTTAATACCTTGTATTTCTTAAGCATAGAAAAGTCTCTTACTTATTCTAAATCTCCCATATCATCATAAAACAAACCTAGCTTGTCAACAACCTCTGGAGGTCATCTAGTCTTAACCACAGTCTAAAACATGAACAAGTACAAAAGGTTGCACAAAGTCATGCCCAGTCAAAGTCTGAATATCTCTAGGAACAGATTCCAACTCCTGGTCTGAGCAACCCATTCCACTGTTGGTCTACTGTGGTAAGAATTATTTTTCTTTCACTTAATTACGGTTTCCATGTTGTAATGTGTCCTCTACCTCTAATCCCACCCCTGCCTACCAGTAAGGAGAACATTCCGGCTCTACCTTCTCTAAACTACCTCCAAGGACAGTTGAAAATACCAACCAAAATCTGTCTTAGGCTTCACTCTTTAAGATTATTTTCTCATCCTTCTCTCATGCACACACTTTCCAAGGACATTCTTAACACATCTAGAGAGACAATAGGCAAAATCAACGGAGTCCATGCTTTCTCACTCTAATGCATGCATATTCAGTATTACAATAGATTTCCAAGTTTGGGATTAAAAAAATATATGTGGAACCTAAATGAGAATCACAACCTAAAATATACTTTTTTTACTCTCTACACAAAGCTTACCACCACACGCTCCAAAAAAAAACCAAACACACCAAAAAACCACAGATCTATTTTCTGCTTCTCAGGCCACAGAATATAGCCAAGTCAGCTCTTCTCCTACAACATATACTGAACACTGGAGCTGAACCTATGAATACCCTGCAAATTTCCAAGTTCTTACAATGTATTGCCATCAAAAAGCCTCATTTCATTTTCAGCCACAGACAGCATTTTCAAGAAGATCACAGTCCAACAATTTTACCACATAAAGCACTCATGCATGATGTTTGGTATGACAGCCGACATGCAGACATAATAATAGCTTGACCAATGAAAGAACAGAAGCACAACAAACGTGTGCAGTGACAGGAAAAAGGTTCTTGGTCTTAAACTAATAGGAACACAAATACAGACTAGAAAAAATGAACTATTGTTTTTCCTTTTTTTTTAAGTTACTAATAAGACACTGAAACAATCTGCCCAGAGGGATGGCAGATGCCCATCTCCAGATCCAAGCCACACATGCTGCACAAACGTCCATTAATAAGTGTTGCTGCAACACGGAGCAACCTACTCCAGGGGAAGATGTTTCTGCTCATGGCAGGAGGGTTGGACTAAAGACCTTTCAAAGATCTCTTTCAACCCAAACTATTCCATGATTCTATGAAACATATTGAAACCTTTTTGATAGGGTAAGAGCTCTATACTACTATGTCATATACTAAGCATGATAATACTTAATCAAGAGCAAAACCAAGACGAGGAACTGTTCTACAAAGACAACTGTCTCTTTATTTCAAAGCACTACACAACACGTGACAAGCTCTTGATTGTTGTTTATGATGAATGCTGTTCAGCAAAGAAAAGCATGTATTTCCATGTTCTTTCTGCCTTGACAGCACTGCTTGCACCCATGTTAGGATCAGTGAGCAAACTTGAGCTCCCTTGCATCAGCTTCCACATCCCATTTCTGTGCATTCTCTAAAAGGGGAAAGCCCCACACTTGAACTTAACCACAATACCCTGTTGAACAGACTCCCTTATTGCTAAAACTCCTTTGGCTTTTTACCACATGCCCCTTCAACTAAGTCAGCTTTAAGTTTTCAGATGAAGACACAAAGAATGAGAAATGGGACCTTACTTGCTCTGCTTTACAGTGAAGGAGGGGGAAGAAACAATAGTGCCCTTTCAATTCAGATGCGTATCTGCATGCAGATTTACTGCAGGAATAACTTGAGCTGACATGAAGGAATTTATTATCTCAGAGCTAGAGTTCAATTCCGGGTTTTAAAGTAGCTACTGCGGTAAAGTGCTTTTCACTTCCCGTCCTCACACTACAC